TCTTTCTGTTGAACAGTACTTGGAAAAGAGTTCACTTTCCTATTAAAAGGCATTTCCATTGTCAGGTGTTCTCTGTAAATTCTGGTGGGAATTCTTGGGAATCTTATAGTGGCAGAGAAAAAATGTACCTGGACAAAACAGTATTACATTACTTTAGTAAGACGGCACACCCATCGATATCAGTGTCCTGTTCTGTAATCTCTGCTCTTGATCAGCCTCTGCGGGCTTGATTTAAACCCACCCACAGCAAATTAGAACTAAAGTTTGTGTTTGCCACACAGGTCATATATTCAAATGGCATTATGCGTCACGCTTGGCGCCCTTGCAAAGTGAAGACAAAAAAAAAAAACAAATAGCTATTTTCGGAGTGTCTATTTAGGCTCAGTGCAAATAACACACCTTGTTGGCAGAAGGTATTTTCGCTATCTCTGCACATCAAATGTCTGTTCGACATAGACAACATTATATAAATATGCACTTCTAAAAATGTCTCTTTGTTGTAGATCGAAAAGCGTCTGGCAAAAATGTTTTACACAGTGTAAAATGAACCTATTGTTAATAGCGTCTTGGTAATAAAATTCAAAATAGAATACATTTGTATTTACATTTTTGTAGTTGGTGCATTGTTTTTTCCTTCATTAAATTATGGATGAACTGATTCCACTTTTTTACAAACCAATACAAGTACGATTATTTGAATTTGTGAATTCGCCGATACTGAGTACCGATTCCGATACTTCTTAGATTTGGTTTTTAAGAAAGTGCAATAATTATATAAAAGGAGGTTTTATTTTTTGCCTGTAGCAAGGATAAACACAAAAATCTCTAACAGAAGGCAATTCCAAGCCAAAAATATACACAAATGGTTGATAACCCTGTACATCGATAGACCTCATCGATTACAGATTAAGCTTGGACATTTAAAGGATAAGTTATCCTTGTGCTGACACGCGTCCACGTCTTCACACATTACTTAATCAAGCGTGTGTAGTTTATGTTACCTCATGGAGACACTCTTGTGACATTACATATGGGGGATGCTTAAACCCCTGTAATGCGCAGTTCTTCGTTATATTCACAAGCCCTGCTGTTAATTCACGGGTCAGGTCATCAAAAAGTAGGCTACATGATGCTTAACTGTGGTTGGGATGCACGTGTATTTTATTAACCTGTAGTCTACTATATAGGTTAGTTTTTTTTACTAATGTTGCGATCAGGTTTTTTTGCCCTTGAGTCTGAGTCATTTGATTTTAACTATCGATACTGAAACCCAATCCGATACTTCTATAATACGCAAAGGATTAGTAGAGACAAGGGAGCTACGGACGAACTCCATATGTCTGTTTTGAATGAAACACGGGGTACATCTTGTAACAGAACAAGTTATTTGTCAGAAATCTTCTTATAAAGGGCTGGCAGAGCGATTTCAGTGAAGTAGTGGAGGGACAGCATTTCAAATTGAGGTTCTATGTTTGTTTTTTGAGTTGTCTTATCAGGTTTGTTGTGTTAAATGTAGCTTTGTCCTTTCCACCTCTTGCAATGCCAAGTTTACACTTCTCATAATGTTGACAGTGGCAATGTTGGCAATAGTATTGTTGTCATCATCAACTTTATAATACCTCCAAAACGCAGACATACATGCGCTTTCCGAATTAAGCTGCTTCCATGTTCTACTTTGCCGGCGTTTAACTAATAGCATCTCTGCAACAAAGTGATGTCATGCAGCACGCGTTGCTGTTTCTGTGTGAAGTCAAGAAAGAGGTCTAATACTGTGCCACCGCATAACTATAGATGTGTTAAAAAAGAATATATACATATAGTCGAGTGCTGATCGGGAGGTAAAGTCCAATTCCAATTGCCGTCTGAAACCCCGTGATCGGGCCAGATTTCCGATCATTTGATCGGATCTGAACATCCCTAATTTTCTTTACATATAATGTTCTATTACTTACAATTTCTTTAATGTATATTTACAGTTTATATATAACATGAGCACGAGCTTGTTTCGCTGCATTTGATCATTATGCAAGGATCACATTGCACATTCGGTTTGTTCTTTAGTAGCCTATAGATTTGTTAATAATGTATTTTATAAATGGATTGCTTATGAGGACTAAGCTAAGCTATTAATATATAACATTAATTAATACATTAAGACATTGAAGTAAGGTTGGAAAACGAATCACATCCCTGTAGTGAAATACTGTTGAGTGGTATCGGTGTGTGGTTTCATGTACGATTCGAGTATGAGTATTTTAATCAAGTATCAACCTGATACTGATATCGGTATCGGTGCATACCTAATAAAAATACAATGGTAAAAGTTATAGACTATAAATACACAAAAAAGTATTTTTCTACTTCAGGACTGCTTTAGTGCACTTAAACAAGTATTCTTAATACCACATTTTCATTAGTTGTATTAGTATATTTCTTATAAATAGGTTGAAATGCTATAAAAAATTAATTGAATGTATATAGACTATAAATATACAGTTTAAGTAAAACAATTCAGTGTGTGGTTTTCTAATTCCACCTGGAGCAGGATGAGAAGAACTGGAAAGATTACGTGTACAATCTTAAAACTGGGGTTCTTATGCACGGTAATTGCTAAATGTATCTCAAAAGTAAAGAAAACAATTATACTGATGACATACATTATCATATTAAAGTAAATCAAAGGAGTATCAACATAGTTGCACTACATTTTAAATGAATTATTTATAATAACAAAAAAAAAGTCAATACAACAGATGTTTATTGTATATTTCATGATGTATCTTATATTTTAATACATAGGTGTAGTGGGGTCCAACAAGGCATTGTACTAGGGGCCCTATGAATTCTTAATCTGGGCTTTTTGCCAAAGCCACAGCATCTGCGTGACTGCAAGTGGCGTTAAACAGAAGGAAATGTGTCATATGAAATGCAATACACTGTGTAATATTTCTCTCAAAGAAGTGAAGGCTCCCCTATTCATGTGCCTTTTTGTGCACACGCTCACAGTCATGCTCATATAGCTCTTGTTGCTGTAGTAATGAACCCTTTACTAATGGTAATGACAGCCTAGCAATTTTCACAGCTCTCTACACTAAAGAAGTCCTCTGAGATTGTGAGCGCTCTCAATGTTGGTAATGCCACACTGTGGGAGTTGTTTCCAATTATGTCTGTGAGTTCATGTGGTTATACTCCAACACTATTAACCTTTATGTAAAACTTTCGCATGGTGTTGTATTTTTAATGCATCTTTTGTTTTAAACATTTAAAGGGATAATTTACACATAATTGAACAGTCTGTCATCATTTACAAACTCGTTTACAAGAAGTAATTGATAAATGCTAAATTGATAAATGATAAATGAAAAAAATGTAAACCCACATGAGGAAGAATAAATTAGGTACATTTAACGTCTACTTGTCATAAAAATGTTATGAACACTAGATGGCAGCATTCTGCTAAACTGAAATGGAGCATAACAATTTATCCTAATAATAATAATAATAATAATAACAATAATAAAAATAATAATAATAACACAAACAAATGATGATTTAAATTCACCCTCTTTTATTTTAATTCTTCTGAAATTCATAGAAACAAACTTAAAAAACAACAACAACAATCATCTCCAGAGGCATATCAGTCAGGTAGAATGCATGTACTGTAAGCTAAATTTGTGTATGTGTGCAAACCAGTGTGGGTGTAGCATATATTTTTTTTCACTCATTCTTCCCACTGGCTTTGACATCTTCAAAGGGCCTTGTGCCAATACTGCTTCACAGCAATCACATTTGGACTGAATATAATAGTGGAGGTGTTATACAAACAAAATAAAATGATGTAAGCCTGAGTGAATCTGTATGAAGGCAGAGGTATGTGAACAACTTTGCATTGAATGTTCAAATCCAGCAGTTTTGACAAGTCAAGGAGGACAAATAAGAGACCATATTAGACATGAACTTTTAAGCTTCATTTATAAAATGAAGATCATTCTAGGTTCATGATATTTCTCTTTAAGGGCACACACTTTCAAGTACAGTCAAGTACAGATAACAGAAACATTTCACCCACAAAAAAGAAGAAAAAAAAAACCCCGCACTGCTGACTATGAAGACTATGAAGATAGATGGATATACTGATTAAATTGAATTAAAGGGATAATTTTCCCACCCTTTTTTTGATCAAAACCTATTTCAGTTTCTTTCTACAAAAATATATTTATTCTGAAAAATGCTGTTTGCTGGCACCCACTGACAGACCCATTGAATTTTTTTTTATTTTCCTACTATTAAAGTTGATGGGTGCTGGCCATAGACTTATACACTAGATATTGCATGCATCAATAGCGCCGCCATATTAGTACAGTGCTCCCAGAACAAAATCCTTCAACCGCACTTGTCAAGACTAAAGCCAATCTGAAGATGCTGGACTTTTGAGCTGGGTACGGGTTTAGATAAAGCATAAAGGCAGAGCATTTTATAGGTAAGATTTCGTTTTTTTACTATTTTTATTAGTTACAATCTTTTGTGCTAAACAAATCATGTTATTGATGATAATACAGTCACTTACTGCACCAACCATAAGGCAAAGTAGCCCCAACCTGCACTAAATTCTAGGCTTATGCTAGTTTTGTTAAAAAAAATCAGCAAACAATGTAAATAAAATATGACAACAACCAAGCAGGCACACAGCATCATATGACGTTAATATTAGGTTAGATTTAGGTCATGACATCAGGTGAACAAAATTCAATGTCTAGCCAGCGTCTAAGGACAACGTTATTTTGATGTCCAATAACGACGTCAAATTACATTGATATTTGGTTGATTTGTTGTGTTGGAAAGTGACCAAAATTCAACGTCTGATAGATGTCATAGTGATAACGTCCACACAACGTCAAGGTGTAACATGATTAGACGTTGATATCGGGTTGATTTTACGTTGGATGTTGGACATTGACATGGGCCTGATGTCGGGTTCTGATGTCAACCTGATTTTCATTTCCAATCACCATCCAACGTCCCCACGACAGTGGGGTACAACGTCAATATGACGTCATATTGACATCCTGTGCCTGCAGGAAAGATTCTGCGCTACCAGAAACTTCAATTATTATTAATGTTAGTTTTTGAAGTAACTTATAAGGGTGTCTGATAACAGTGCCTGCACCTCAATTTAATATTATAATTTTCATACCATTTAGATGAAAAAGGTAGATTTGCACATTGAGACGAAGGAATATCACACGAGTCATTCATAATGGAGATTCATTCATAAAGGAATTGCTCCCTCCGTTAGGATTAGAAGTGGAATTTAACATTGAGGGAGGATAATACATTTCCGTGCACATAAACACATGCTCATTGTCAGCAATGCCTGTGTGATCACTTATCCAGTAATAGAGAAAAGTCATGTAAAATTTGAATTTTCATAATTTAAAAAATATTTGCATACTGAACACCAGGAAAACTCCCAATCATAGATATATGTATATGTGTTTATATCTATGGCTCCAGATGGCCAGCCCTCCACTACACCTTGGTCCCACATTTATTTCAATGGAGCGCTACCCTGTACTAAAATGGTGGCTGTATTGACACATTCCTTCCAATCGACAACAACAACGTAGGCGACATCTGATGTAAATATCTATAGGTGTTAGCAACCAACATTTTCCAAAATATCTTCTTCTGTGTTCAACAGAAGAAAGCAAATAATAAATGTTGAAGCCACATGAGGGAGAGTAAATGGTAAGGTACATTTTGGGGTAAACTATCCCTTTAATTATTAAGGTTTTATAAGACGTTCTTGGAAAAGACTGATGTTCTTATTCCATTAGCAAACTTAATATTTTGCTCACTTGTGCTTTAAATTAAAAACTAAAAAATAATAAAACTGATTTATTCTTTGAAAACAAGCTTTAATATATTATGCTGTTTTTCGTATCGTGCAAATCTATCTTAATTTAAGAAAACTTAGATAAATAAACATATGAATTAAGTATAAATGATTTGGGCCTGTCAAAATAGTGCTGAACAAAAAGCATGAATTGATGTGTTTCAGAGTTTTTCAGAAATTACCAAGAGGCCTATTTACAGCACTGTTCTGAGATCAGACAGCTGTCTGAACACTCACATTACATCAGTCAAAGTTTCTGTTGGGTTGCTGATCTGGGGTCACTCAGAGATCGTAAAAGACTTTAATTAAATTGTTGAGAGAATCTTTCAGAGCACTATCCTTAGATTAGTCAGAGAGAGTATTGAGTACTGGCTACTGCACGGAGATCAGTAAGATCAGCTGTGAGAGGCTTTAGCATGGTAAATATATATGGGCTGATTTAATTAACCATATAGGTGTGGGAATATCTCCAGATGATTGCAGGCTGAAGTGCTACTTAGGAAGAGAATGGAGTAGGTGAGCTCTAGTGGTCAAGTAGATGGGCAATGATCAAAAACTATTTTGCAGATGCCAGATTATAATTGCGAAAGTATCCGATCATGTGTATGTATTTTCCCTTTTCTTGGTCTTTATATTTGTAGCTATAATCAGCACCAATTCACAAGCTGCCAAACACATAATAAATGTCATTGTCGCAGTCCACATGTTTAAAAAAAGAGACTCTTTCTCCACACAAATACAGTCTGTTAAACCTCTTGACTGATTTGACATCAGTTGCTTTTGGCTTAGAGGAGAATTTGAAAAGTAGATTTGATCGCCAGATGCTCCTTTCCCTTGCTCTATTTCTGCCCCAGGTCTCTTTATCTTTCTCTCTCTCTTTTTTTACAGAGGGCAAAGGAGGGTGAAAACGAAGGGACTCTAGCTCATGCATATTGATGAAGAGCATTGTCTGTGACAAGGTGATTTTCAGCATTTTTAGAGACAAACAGAATAAGCAAGGAGAAGCAGGCATGAATCCTTCAAAGAATATACTCTCCACTGTGACTTAATTGGTAAGTGATGCTCTAATTGAAATCAAACATGCACTATGCAACTCAATTGTGAGTATGAATTACCCTGAAAGAATTTCACATCATACCAACCTGTCTGCAGAGGCTTGCTGCTTCTGTGTATCTCTAAAGCTCATCCCCACCCCCTTCTGTCCTTCACTTTCTCCAATCCATTTTTTTCTCTTTTTACGTTCTATTTAAAAAGACCAGTCATAAATGTCTCCAACACATTGGTCATTGTGGGGGAGGTGGCTTTCATCTTATCTGGGAGTTTGAAAAGATACTATCACTATATCCCATAATCCCACAAATATACGGTGTTACCAAACCTTTTGGAGGAGGTGACACTGGGTGTATCAAAGTCATGGCTATCAGCAGGTACAAATATGGCTGCTTGGCCCCTGAATTTATTTGTATGGTTCTTGGGGCATCAGAAGTCTCTATCTATGCCTTGACAGAGCAATAGCTTGTTACAGTTTCCGCTTTACTGCTGCTGTAATACTGCAGACCAGAGGAGCCCTCCCTCTGTGATTATCTGCAACTGTTCAGCAGTGTGGTTCATCTGGCCTTCCTCGCTCTCATTTGAGCTGCAGCAAAACCTGCATAAGGCTTTTGCCATCACAATGATACATCTCAGCATCAATAACTCAATCTTTAACTTGTCAACTGCATTTATGATCAAACAAAAGCCTTGTTTAACATGTAGGCTTGTACCTGTTATGCTTAAGTACACTTGTAAAGTACTTAAAAGTCATCTTTGCCCATAAACTTCAAAGCCCAGCTTTCACAGGTCTCTTTCCATCGCCCCCTGGGGGTGTTTTGGCTTTTCCTTTCTTGTACATCCTTATCTGCCTCCCTTTTAGGCATGCGGTCAGACAGTGGTAATCTGATCAACCACACGAGTGCTGTCCACCATCTCCACACACTCAATTTCTTCCCTGTTTTCTGCAGCATTTTTTCTTTCTCGCCGTTTTTTCTTGGAGGGAGGCAGGAAAGTGAGCAGGACAGGAAGAATGGCCAAACAGTGGAAGGCTGTGATTATGGCGGTGAGAAAGAGGCACCTAAAGAGCGTTCGGGTGAGGTTTGAGGGCACGGCTGCAAGAGGAAGCAAAGCTGCCCCGTAACACAAGTAACTCTGCAAGGCAGGGACCCCATGTTGCTCCAGAGCCAGTTTCACCCAGCGTGTTCGAGTGGATTCACGGCCTAGAGCAAATGCTGATACCAGTGGAGCACTGGAGTCCACAGCATAGTTCACCCCGTAGATCAAACACAGTACTGAGACGCAGTCCAACTCTACCCGCCAGAGCGTCATGAAACCAACCAGTCCAAACTCAACCGAGGCTACTGTCACAGTCAACCAAGCATTCACCAGTGGGTCAGCTGCCAAGAAGGTGGAAAAGAAAAGCAGAAAGAGAGCAGCGATGCAAGAGTTCTTCAGCGGTGCTCCAACTGATGAGGCATATCGGTCCATATACACAAAGGATGGATTGAAGATGATGAATTTTACCCTGGAGGTCAATGACAGTTTCCTCAGTGTGTCCAGTAGGATAGACATCTCCTCTCGTTTGTTTTCAGTTGTTTTAGCAATGAGAAACATACGTGAGGCCACCACGTCAAATTCCCCATCTGATCGTTTGGCAAAGATGATATCATCTGTGAAATGCACGTATCGGGGTTGACGCAGAAAGCCAGAGCGCAGGCGCTCTGTAAAGTTGCTGCGGGACAGGCTAGTAGTGATGTTCAGCCCATGAAGATAGTTAAGGTAACTCTCGAACCAGGAAATGCGTTCAAAACCTTTAATGTACTCTAGTAGGTCCTCTTGCACACTGGTGTTCCAGTACTCAATCGACTCATAGATGTAGAAGCCGATCACAGGACTGTAACTACTGAAATACCGCTGTTGGGCACGAGTATAAGCTATAGTGCTTGTTTCTGTGGCAACCACATTACTAAGATCTGACCCTTCGCTGACCTGAAGGTAGCCCATGAGGGCAAAGGAAACATAGACTAAGTAGAAAAGAACCACGAATGGTTTGACATAGGTATTAGTGATCCAGTCACAGTAGTACCGCTTCATAAAGGCTACCAGTAGGTGGCTTTCATAAGCACACAGGGGTCCTGCTTCCGTGGCCTCCTCGTTGTAATGTGTGTACATAAGAAAGCGGTACCATGCTGGCTTCTGCTGCAGCAGCTCGGGCTTCGGTACACGCCTGCAGAACAAACTGTGACGATAGTTGTTTTCCAGGTATCCAGCGAACACCAGGTTGGAGCCATAGAAGGTGAGGATGTAGAGGTAGTTGAAGAGGACTGAGATACAGGCGTTCTGACAGAAGAGTCGCACAGCTTCAATGTTTGTGAATGGACTGGCTCCGATGCCAAAGGTGACTACATGCAGGGCTGTGCTAGCTGTGAAGGGCAGCATACAGTCAGAGAACACAGCAGCAACTCGCTCCTTCACATGCTGGTCCTCGCGGGTCCGTCGCCAAGACGACAGCATCTCAAATGTGCCAAACAAGCCATGACCTACAAGAGATGAAGAGAGAAAATATGTCTTTCAGTGATTTATGAAGATTAAACGAAAAACGTGATGTGAACTGGTCTAAGCATAGCTTAGAATGATTTTGGCAGGCAACTCTTTCAACTGACATAAATGGCTGCTGGGAAAAAAGGAGACGTAAATAATTTAACAAAACGGTGACAAGACAGTCATTCTGCAGCTGTACCGCAACAATATATGTGATAGAAAAATAGATGCTCTCTTTAGCCTTCTGACACTGATTTTTTCAATCGTTTAATGCACAATGGAATACAAGGCATTAATTGCACATTGATCAATGAAATTCTTGTCAGCCTATACATTCGTGCTAGAGACTATAGAAAATCACATTTCCTTAATATACAGCTCATCAGAATCAGCAATGCAATTTACTAGAAAATCTATCAAAATAAAGAAAATATTCAGTCTTGAATGCTGGGCAAAAAAAAAAGCCTCTTGGCCATCACCACCTCTATTTACAGAGCGCAGTCTAACTATAGCCCACTCTCTCCTCCTCCATCTTCCCAGCTGATGAATTTGCAGCTAAATAAATCTCAGTCACACTCACACACGATAGCCACATGTCATGTAAAATTGATCTGATGAAAGGAGAAAGCCTTCTGGATGTAAGGAAGGCTGACAGCCCCTGTAGCCTTGGGACCTTGTAGAAGCACAGAAGCCCAAGACATTAGGCAAACTGGGTCAGCCTAGTTTTAGGAGTTGACATAAAGGAAGCTTAGAACTAAACATTGGTGTCATAGAACTAAACATAAAGTCAGGATCTAAATGAAGCTCTGCAACATATATTTAGTCATGCTTAACACATGCATTCACCTCATGCGGGTATTTTTTTCAGATTGAATGTAATTTCCTCTCTAGGTTTTTGCATCACTTGCTCGTGCAGGCAGAGTGAGCAGATGGCTCTCACCTACAGAGTTGCCACGGCATCAGTGACTCATCATTCATGACGGAGGTTCCCTCAGTCAGATAATACCAGCACTGCCTCTCACACAGACTTGGGATGTGTGCCCGACTCAATATCTAGCAGTCACCAAACAGCACTGACCCGAGGTCACCGCCTCCCTGACTGGATACAAATGTGGGGATTTTTCCGCAGAGCTAAAAGTCTCAAATTAAACTAATGGAGCGGTAAGAGAGGAGTGTTGCTAAACAGAACAATCAAGAGTAAACAAAGTGAGAGTAACTAATTTATATTCTCTGGCTGTTCTCTCACACTTTCTCTGCCACAGTTGTTTTTCTCTTTATTAAAAGAGTAGACTATTTCACTTCCTCTCATCTCTAAACAGAGAGTTCCAGGCGACTCACCCAGCAGGCACAGGATATCAACATGACGTCAGATTGACATTGTACCCCAACATCGTGGGACATTGCATGTAGTTTCAAAATGAAAATCGGGTTGCCATCAGGCCGACGTAAATGTCCAACGTCGGACAGACATTGCATTATAGTTACTTTCCATTGCAAGCTAAAAGCAACAAAATATCAACGTCTAATGATGTTACAGCTTGATGCTGAGTGGACGTTACCACCAGGCATGGGCAAAAGTACATTGAAATGTATTAAAATAGTTAAAATAAAATACCAAGTTTATTTATAGACAAATTTCGAGAGGATCACGTTCTTATGATTGTTCTTAGCTGTTCCAGCATCAGCTCAGGATCGATTATCCTATCAGATGATTCCTAACTCACTATAAATAACCAGTTGAAGAACAACCCCCACCCAACCCTACTTTCCCTCCTTTTCAAACGGGCGACATAGCAGCCCAGTGATTAGCACTGTTGCCTCACAGCAAGAATGCCTCTGGTTTAAGTCCCTACTAAACCAGGCAACATTTCTGTGCGGAGTTTCACTTGTTCTTCCTGTGCTCGTGTGGGTTTTCCTTGGGTTCTCTGGTTTCCTTCCACAGTCCAAATAACACGGACCCTAAGTAAATTTAACTCACAAAATTGAAACCATAGTCAAGCTCTCAGCAAGTACACGTCTTCTCAGTCATCCATATCCGTCACTTAGCTACAAATAGGCCAGGGGGAATCATCGAGATCTACCTGCACTCAAACTCCCCTCTCGCCCTGCAAACGGGAGGGAGCCCAGGGCTTGAGGATCTAATAAGCTCAGGGCTCTCTCCTGGGACAGCATGCCAAACAAGCTTTATTATCAATCATCAGCTAAGTGTGAACTCTTGAAACTACAAAACACAGCAGCCACAACACAAGTCACAAGTAGCATCATAAAATACTGTATTTTGTATTTTAAAAATTCTCCAAAATACTTTTACAAGGTAGCATGACATTTCTTTGCAAATCTCCCATCAATTAGACCTATTCGATCAATCCTTCCCCATTAAATTGACTTGTAAACAAAAAAAAAGTGAAGTAAACAATGTTTGAGAGCAAATGTGGCCAGAAAAATTGCCATCATCTCTGTACAATGATTATTCAAACTCTTAATAATTTAAAAGGGTGTGAAATAAAAAGTGAATTTAAATTTTTGTTCACATAATTTTTCAGAAATCGAGTTTTATTTTTTTGCTATTGAATTCTTCAATACTCAACGTAAAACTGTATTAGTTTTTTATTATTAAATATTTGTGTTTCATTTGTTGTGACATCCTAGGACTTATATCTTTCCTCTTCATAAACTGATCTGGACCTTTTGATCAACTACTGGCATTTGAAATAGCCAATGAAGTGCTACTGTAAAGCAGGTCGCACACCAGAAGCGCCGCGCAGCGCCATGCATTTTAGAATTCTAAACATGGGTTTCTATCAGGATACACACACCGGCACCGCAAGTCGGCGGCTGTCGGCGGCGCCCGTCCACGGCTCAGGACGCAGTTCATTGTTTAGCCGCGCCACAGAGCGCCATCTGATTAGTTTCATGTTAAATATCATTCGAATGTGCGCGTCTGGTGTGCGATACTTTAAACTGTCATGTGCGCAGCGCCGAGCGGCGCTTCTGGTGTGCGACCTGCTTAAGACTTATTTTATGTTGTTTGTTTTAACAACAAACATTTGGCATCAGCAATCCATCCAAAACTATTATTATTTGTACAGTATTCTCTTTCTCCTTAGATTTTTTCAATTCTTCTTTCAATGGAAGAGTCAATAACATCCAACCCATCTGAGGCCACATATTTATGATGTCATCATGTTGACTTCTTACAAAGTATTTTACAGTATTTAAAAAATAAATGACTCTAAAGTATTTTCATACAAAATATTCAGACATTTTCATCCGCCCTGTCAAATACAAATGACAAAATACTATTTTCTAGAAAAATACGTATTTGACATATATGTATCATAAATACTGCCCATCCCTGGTTACAACTATGATAGACGTTAGATTTTAGTTGCCATACCTGACGAAGAAATGTTAGTATTTGAAGACAGTATGACGTGGGTTTTAGATGTTGGCTTGACGTTGGATTTTGCTAATTTTCTAACATTACTTAAAGTCAACAAATTAACTACGCCATTTCACGTCATTATTGGGCTTTAAAAAAAATGTTTTCCTTAGATGCTGACAACCTAAATCTAACCTATGATTAACATCTTATGACATTTTGTGTCTGCTGGGCAGTATGCGCATCCTTTATCAGACGAACATCTTCACCCATCTCCCAAGACACAGTACAGTCTCTTTCTCTTTATAAACACGACATTAATCATAGCAATTATGTCCTATGATATCTCCTCCTCCTATCTTTCCATTATCATCAGAGGACTGTCAGATGGTCTCAGTTGACAGCTAATATCCTTGTAATGGAATTTGTTTTAAATAAAAGGCCAGTGGCTTACAGAGATAAGGCTTATTGTTTTGTCTGACATCCGTCATGTCGTACATATTGCTTGGTGCTCTTCTCTGAACCTTGTTCAACCCAGTATGAGCAACATGCAATGACATTTACATGAAGCGACACTGGGTGGTTCTTGCAAGTTCTGCTTTATTCTAAGAAAATCCTCTGCAGGAGAGCTTTGCTGTCACTCTTGCGACGCAATTGGAAACCAGCAGGGTGAATTTAGAGGTAGCTGACATAGAGAGGCACAATTGCCATGGTAAGGATTGAACTGTAGTGTTATAAGAAGGACAGCAATGTCACTGTTCTCAAGATAGAAATACAATAGTAATTTTGTGGAGTGGGTGGCATGGGGGTCAGTCTAAACGCATTGTCTCTCAGCCCTCTTGTCTTCAAGCCTTTCTTCTCCATTTTTTTTGCTTCTCATTTCTCTGTCTTACGCTCCAGCCTGTTATTTTCACAACAGAAGCCTCCTCCCACACGTGGCACTAATTGCTGTGTGTAAGAGATGGCCAACAGGAGCGAGCTAGATGGATGTGATCTGTCAGGATGCATGCATGTGTGTTGGTAATTAGTTGCAAGAAATCTGCTTGTGTAAATCTGTTCCACAGGGACACAGCTGATTCACCAGAATGGCTCATGGACAAAAGAAAGAATTGGAATTCCTCTAAAGGCTGTCTTTAGGGCTCTGTTAGGAGTTTCTTTGATGTCGAGCAGTTCATTTTTAATGATACACCTTGACAAAGGGCAGCTCAGAGCTTCACGGTCAGCCAAACGGTGTACTCGTTTAACCTGACAGGCTGTAAAACTACAAGCAGTCAGAGTATGGAGGATCAAAAGGATGCAATGAGTATGCAAAAAACGATGGTGACTCGTGATTCAAGAGAAAAGAGCACATTGGAAGGATGCATATACACTTCCATTGAAAAGTTTGGGGCTAAAGTGTTTTATCTTTTGAAAGAAACATATGCTTTCCTTCTTTTCAAGAGTTCACACTTAAATAATGCTCGATTATGATAGCAGGTTTGGTTTGCTGAGCTCAGAGCCCAAGGTTCCCGCCTGGTCAATGAGCATTAAGAGGGATATGAGATCAAGTATTTCTCAAGAGCCCCCCAGTTAGTTTTTTTTACCAATACTTTAGTTAATATGGTGGTTCTAATTGATTCAGTATGTATACGAAAAGTGCTTGTAACTCTTATTATAATTAGCTTATGTACATGTTTTTAGATTGTGGGAGGAAACCGAATATGCGGAGAAAACCCATGCAAACATGGCGAGAACATGCAAACTCCGTGCAGAGAATACCAATTAGCTCAATTTGAACTTGAACCATTGGCCCTCCCGCTGCGAGGCAGCAGTGCCAGCCATTGAGCCACCGTGTCGCCCGATCATAGAATTAAGGAGGGGGAAGATGGGGAGATTTTCCAAAGGGAATATAGGGAATGAATTTTAGGATATTTATAGTAGTTTTGGAATGATCTGATAGGCTAGCTAATGATTAGCAATAAGGATCAGCTGTAGTTGATCATATCACGTGCTCCTCTCGAAATTAGTTTGTGAAACTTCGCTTCTGAAGAAAGTGATGAAGACTTGTAAGATTTGTAACAAAAAAATCTGTTAAAGAATTCTAATTATCTAAAAGAAAAAGCAAAGAATATTAAGCAGTACTGAATTGTTGATCAAATATGCATAAGAGGCTCTGTTTACAAACATTTAAACCCCAAACTTTTGAAAGGCAGTGGTCATTTTTGCATAATGCAAGACAGAAGAGTATAATCTCACCTAACATGACAAAAGGGATCCCCAGGTACGTTGAGTTGTATTTCCCTCCAGTGAGGTTTAAGATGCCAGCAGAGGTGAGTGTGGCAAGGCTGACGGTCACCAGAGCCAGCAGACCCAGCCAGGGCTTTGTACGCACACAGTCTCGCATTGAACAGCACAGCATGGCCAGCGAGAGACACACAGCCAGGCTGAAGAGCAGCGGCCGCTCTGATACCCGACTGGTTCTTTGAAAGTCCCTCTGAAGGGAAGAGGAGGTGAAGGGGTGTAAACTAAGCTCCGGATGAGCCTTTCCAAAGTTCTCCAGCTCCCTGCAAAACAGCAGCTCCCAGCTGGCCGCAACCACTTCATTCAATGGACTGACCGCCTGCAGGTAGTATGTGAGTTGAAGGGCTCGAGCAGAGCGCACCCCGTCTCTCCCTCCGCTTGCCAGGACTCCACCCAGTTGGTGACCAATATAGGCCTCCCGTCCATCTTTGAGCTTGGTGATGGGATAACGCAGAGGGGGTACTGAATGGTTGGATGCCCGCGCCGATCTCATCTCTTCCAGAACCCGCAGGATGTCGTCCACAATGCAGCTCTTGCTCTCATCCAGCAGACAGAGGTGGGCAAATGTGTAGTTAAATCCCAGCATAGGAACCTGGATCTGAGTGATGGTGTTGTGAAGCTTGGGGTGGAAAAAAGAGGCACAGAAAGTATTTATTTCACTAAGGTAAATTCAAACTAAATTAATGATTAGTAATTAATGATGATTAATTAATGACTATTTAAATGTTTAAAGTTTTTTTTTAAAGAAACTTTTTGTGTTTGCCAAGGGAGTATTTCATTGGTCAGGAATAGAAGGAATAGTCAGAATATTTCATTCATTAATTCATTTTCCTTCGGCTTAGTCCCTTTATTCATCAGGGGTTGCCATGGTGGAATGAACCACCAACTTAACCAGCATATGCTTTACACAACAGATGCCCTTTCAGCTGCCCAGTACTGGGAAAATCCATACACACTCATTCACACATGCACTACTGCCAATTTCGTTTATTCTATTCACCTACAGCGCATGTCTTTGGACTGTGGGGGAAACCCCAAAGAACACAGGGAGAACATGCAAACTCCACACAGAAATACGCACTGACCCAGCCAAGGCTCAAGCCAGCAACTTTCTTGTTGTGAGTCAATCATGCTACCCACTGTGCCAGCATAATGCTGGAATCTGTTCAGACTTGTTTTAAATGAAAAACTGTGACCTATAGGCAAATAACAAACTCATTTCTTCAGTCAGATTTTGTCCATTTGAATATTTAAAAATGTAGTTTATCTTAAAGACTTTTACAGCTTTTGCATATTTTCACAACTTGACAGCATAGTCAAAAATGTCACAAATGAGCAGCAAAACTCTGACGTTAAGTTCTGACGCCAACCGATTTTCATTTCCAAACAAAATGCGACATTCCTATGATGCTGAAGTACAACGTCAATCTAACGTCGAGTTGACGTCTTGTGCCTGCTGGGTGTTTAAGGCCATTGCAGTCATCATACAGTCTCATTAGTGACATGCATCTAAACAGTCTCTGAGTCAATGCATGTTTGGCCATCTTCTTGGACAATTTTAATACTTACAAACAGTTTGCTGCAGTTATAAATCGCCCATGTCTTGAGGTAGGTCATTATGATGCAAATTACTTTCTGATTTTTCTAATCCCCATAGATAAGAAAAATAAAGTATTGGAGTAAAGGTACCGATACTGCTCTTAAAATATACTAAAGAGAAAGTAAAAGTACACATTTTTTTAAATACTATAAGTAAATTACAGAAAAACGAAAAAAAAACTACTCATTTACAGCAACATACTCAATTTGAGTATTTGTAATTTGTTACTTTACACCACTGGTGATCATCAACATTTCTTTGTATTTAGTTTAACAAGAAAGCGTGTTGCTTATGTGCCAGCAGTTTACTTCCTGCTTTAATGCACTTCAAGACAAATGCAATATAAAAGGAAAACTTTTTAAACTTTCTTCCACACCACCCATGCGAGAGGAGGATTGATTGTCCTCTGAGGTCAGTCTCTCTGCGTTGTTAATGTCAGACTGATTAGACCGTGTCAGACTCAGATCACCGGGGGAGGTTGCCTCCTTCAATGCTCCTTCGGTCTCCTCAAGAAGCAAAGAAATGTCAGACACACACCAATCAGACCTTAATTGCTCAAGCTTGATAATTGACCCTCCGTTGGAGACTAAAGCATGACATCTGCATGCCCACAATCTCTGACCTATGTGGATGTGCTTTATGCAAAGGAAACAAAAGGCTTCAAAAATGTAGTGTATATATATATATATATATATATATATATATGTATATTTATATAGAGAGAGTCACTGATTCGGGCCTCGGATGAGTCTGTTGGCATTTCTATGTGGAGTTTGCATGTTTTCCCCAGGTTCGTGTGTGAATGAGTGTGTATGGGTGTTTCCCAGTGATGGGTTGCAGCTAGAAGAGCATTCGCTGCATTAAACATATGCTGTATAAGTTGGTGATTTGTTCTGCTGTGGCGACCCCTGATGAATAAAGGGACTAAGCCAAAAGAAGCTGAACGAATGATACACTTTATGGTATATATGCTTTTCACATTGCAGTTGACTCTATTAAACCTCTTTCCCAAAGGTGGTCTATTGCTGTGATACAGTGAACCTGTTGTTTTATGGTGCAGAAAGAATATAAAGGAGGTTCTATTTCTGGAAAATACAATGCTATGTGAATATTAAAAAGATGTGCTTACTGCCCACAGCTTGGGCTTAGTTCGATTAGCTTAGGAAAATTGAAATGAATGTTTGACTTAGAAAGGATGAGTCTAAAGGCACATGAAGCGAGTACTTTGCATTTAGTAATAAAGTGTCTACGCTTGCAAAATGTCAATCTGAAATGTGAAGCCAAGATTTTGTATAAAAAGAGGTGAGGCGCTTGTTTGCTTTTTGCCTGCAGTTAATATTTCTTGGAAGTACAGTGTTAGCAGAAGTTGCCAGCAACATATTTCATGTTGGTGGTGTCTGGGGGAGTGAGTTTTGAAGCTGGATTGGGAAGCTGTTTTACAGGATGATAAAGTAGGCCACAAGCTGAAATATTTTCATTGCATGAATTATTTCTACTCTAAAAAAATACATATATATGTGATCCGTTGAGACAGCTTTCCTTGAAATCCACTTATTATCATAGCACTATTCCATATAGAACATGCACACACAAAAACTGTAAATCAGATAAAAACGAAAACTTATAAATTAAAATATGTTTATATGCAAATATGGTTTATTTTGCATTTTAAATATTGAGAAATCTAGCACTTGAGTGGATTCAGCTTTCTCAGTATGATGATCACATTGTTTGATCAAACTGAAGTCACTGTCAGAAAGAAACTTTCCATGTTTACACTTGACATTGTAGACAAAAATAAACAAATATTTTGTTAACTGCAATGAATTTTTTAATAGGAGCTTAAACTGCAAATCATAATGGCAAAATATTTTGTACAATTTTTGTAATGACTACTGTTGAGGGCAAAACATTTAAGCATAACCTAAATCTGTCAAAAAATTTAATAAAAAAAATATATTTAAAACATTTTTAAAATTCATGACATCTGATCCAGTGACTTCTGTAAAAAATCTTTAAAGAACAATGAATGACTTTAATATTACATAACGCACGCGCGCGCGCACACACGACTGAAAGAGTTGGAAAACTAGATACCAAACAGGATACTGAAATATCACAAAACTATATACGCTCCATGCAGGATAGTGCCTCTGAACTTGCCCAAAGTAGCTAAATGAATTCTGACAACGTTCTGACAACGTTTTAAGATCGTTTTTGTAAAACAAAGCATTTTTGTTTCTTACCTTTAAGACTGAGTTGACGTGATGAGGGTCCAACACGCTCCCCCTGCGCGAAGTCACGATGACCCGGCCATATCTCCCGGGTGTTTGCAGGTCCGAGTAAAGCGTGTGTTTGGACCGGTTCACTGGGAACAAACTATCCACCAAGTTCCCCTCGATCTTCGCCAGGCTGTGTTTGGGAGCTAACAGGTACTCCACGTTTTCCTCAATGCGGTATCTGCTGAAGCTCGCGCCCAGCAGGATTGAGATCAGCACGGGCGCTGAGGCGAAAAACACCGGGTGATTGGCGACGAAGTGGCCCAGTTTGTGGAATGACGTCCTGAGCCCTTCGTGCAACACTTGTCGCAACATCCTAGAATGCAGCAACAGCGCAAGGGCGATGAACCAACATCAGCATCAGAGATTCGGAGCATCAGTGTTCAACCCACGCAGCTGGATCACTGAAATGATGAAGCGTAGCGCTGAATCTCATCAGGTCCTGCTAGGTCAGAGACACTTGGTTAGTACTGTATTTACTTCAAAGGAAACAAAGTCAGATTTAAATTACACTGGACAGTTTTGGGTGTTTTTATGCATTTGCAATGCCATGGTGCGAAATACTCAAAGACTTTTCAAAGGGCACGACTTTTTCTTTTTGTCAGTAGGCTAATTATGGGGCGCAGTCAGCGCAAGCCAGCCTAGGTTACAATTTGCTACCCTTTTAATAAAAAGACATCTAATCTAAACGCTAAAATAGTGTATGATATGTAAATCGACAATGAAGTTGTCAGTTTTGAGGCTGTTATGATTAATGTTCCCACATCGAGGACCAAAACGTTGCTATGGTTATTTTCGGACCACCGTGAAAACGCATGTTTGCGGACCTGCAGTTTATTTCAGCTGAATTTGAGAAATGTATGTGCTGATGTAAATAACGCATGCTTTTAAAACCCATCCAACAGTTGCTCTGAGTTGCATTGGGGTTCAAGCTTTGATCATGGGGTCAACATCAGCTCTCACATTATTCACACCCTTTGCAATATTGGTCACTTTTTAAGGGTCATATATTCTTAGACTTTAGCGCAAAATAAAACAACAATGTTAAACCAGCCTGATGAGATGAAAAATGTAAACCCACTGATTTAAACTGTTATTTTATGACAGGGAAAGAAATTATTACCAGTCACGTCTTTGCAGTTTCATGCCATCTGAGAGACCCAATTTCCATAAATACGTCGTTGATCCTAGTGCCAGAGATGATATGCTCATGTCTTGTAATAGAAGCGAATCACTTTTCTCTTTGAATATCTCCACAGCGTCTTTGATATGATGAATCCAGTAGGTACAGATCGGTGTATTTTAACAGTGAACTGGTCATACTTACAAACAGTTCCAAATGCGCAAATACAGTTTTGTGTATTCCATTATCTATGAGGTGTGTGTCATTGATCCATAGTAATCCCGCACCGCGCCCAGCACGACCGCTATCCGCTGTTACCAGTCTGAAAACACGAATGTCCACCACCGACCCGCGGTGCAGAATGCGAGGGGCTCCGCGCAGCTCCAGCCCTTTCACTTGTGTGCATTTCCTTCCCGAGTTAAAGCATTTGTTATTGCGCGGAGCACAACACAGCTCCACATACAAAACAGCACAAATTAGCCCGATGCGGCACTTAATTGCTCAGTTACGAAGCAGATTCTGAAGTTCCAGTTTCTCGAGGAGCCGGCCGGTGAATGCCGGTGTTGCCCCCACCCCCACTACGGCTTATCACGGGAGTGGGGGGTTTTAGAAAGACGAATGGAAAGCTTTTCTGATTGGTTTGTTACGAGAGATAATAACACACATTAAGGCAGCGATTATATGTGACGGAATGTTTTTTGCGTGCCAGCAACATGTTTTAAAATGACGTCTTTAGAAACTATTTGCATTTACTAGGATTTCTTATGCTGATTTATTTACACGTATTATTGTACACGAGGACAGACACAGAATATTTTATGTGATTAGGTGACTGAGCATTTAACATGGATTTACTATGATGGAATAATGCCCTATACGTGGGATATTTCCGATGACTCTTTAAAGGCAATTTGGTAATAGGTAAAATGTTCTCTTAAGAACTGACAGATGAAAGGTTTGGTGGAAACCAACAAGTATATTTAACCAAATGCAATAGAATAACTATTCTGGGTTCCCAAAGAACCTCAACATTTTTTAACAGAGCCATTTGGTGTAAGAATCAGAATCTTTGTCAATGTACAAAATACAACGAAATTTACATATGCCCTTCCCTTCAGATCAGTCCTATTTATCTAAAACTACAACAATAAGAAGAAGATATAAAAAGGTAAAATGGCAACAATAATTAATCATTAAAGGAGTAACAATACAATACTAAAAGTGTGTATGATGTGCGTATAAAGTGGCAAGTGCATTTTCTAGCAGCAAGTTAAAAAATGAGCAGGATTTAAATGATTTTGGCCAGAAACACATTCAATTTAATGTCCATTCATTATTGCAACTGCCCTTGAATATGTACTTTTTTTTAGTCTGTTTGTTTTGACACCCTTTCCATCACACAAATGTTTTTTTTTTTGGACATTCTTGGAACCACCTTTCATCAAGTCTTTTAAACTGGAGCATTTAACAGAATCGTTTTGCATTCTCTCAGGAACTTGTTATTGAACAATAAATAACAATTTGAGTGTTGAGCATTTTAACAAACTAAAGGATCTTTTTCCAATAAAAAAGAGAGTCATTTGTGCAATGCAGAGGTTCTATTGTTTTTAAAGAGAACATTGCACATCTTTATTCCAACATTTGACGTGGAACAACAGGTTGCAAATATGAAGTAATCTACATTTAACACTTGCTCACACTGGACGTTGATCCCACACCAAAGTCTTTCAGATGGGAGAAAGTGCTCTGAAATTGAAGTCCAGTTTCAGCACCTTGGACAGAGATGAATGAAGTTCCACTCCAGTACTTTGGTGTTTTTGGATGATTCAGAAAACCTTTGAAGGTGGAATAGTAATCTATTACGTCAATATGCTTGAAAGTTTACCATGAGCCTTTCCTTTTGATGTGCTTTTGATATTATTGGCACTTTTTCAATTACCCATCTTTTCTCTGAAATCGACTCAATTTTAACAGCTTGCATCCTCTTATATTGAGCGGGAAGTTCAATCAGGGCCAGGGTTAAACGGTCCCTTCTCTCTGAATTCCTCAGACAGACAGACAGTCTCTGGCTGACAGATCATTTAATAACCCTGGAACAGCCTGCTGGAGTGCAGGGGCATGGTTCTGGATTTACCCATGCATGTCTAATCAAGAATTGAGCCCATGATTGAACACAGCTCCCCTACCTGAATGATCCAGTACCTTCTGCGCTCCCTTGAGAGATATTTCTTTTCATATAATCAAATGTGCATGACTATTTTGTATGTGGTTAATCTGAAATCCACAGTTTTTTATTTTATTTATTTTTATAGTGGAAATGTTATGCTTTTTCTTCCTGCCTCTACCCTTTGACCTGTGCTGTAGAGACAAAGGCAGGGTTTGTAATGATCATCACTGTTTTATGTGGTTATTGCCATGGCAACCATTGCTGATGCCTCCTGTAGTCCATGCTTTGCCATATCATTCCAGCAACCCAGCAAAGACTGGTTTCCATGGTTACAGCTTTAGGGCACCATTGTGACTAAACAGCTAAAAGTGCTGGTTGTGTTATTGTCTAATACCTGCCAGAGTAAATGTTTGGACTCGTGTTGGATTATTGCTTCAACAGTAAATTATGCTGGCAACACATGTCACTAGCAGCACCAAAGCAATAGATTATATTCGACACACATACCTGCAAATGTTCAGCTTGAATGCATAAGTTGTTTTGATAAGAGCTTCTGCAGAAATATGGATAGGACTAAACTGGCTAACACAAACCACAGAAAAGTCTAGGCTGAGTTTATTTTAGGCGACAAAAGAAGAACTGATGTTTGTTACCATAACAAAGTAGAGAAAGTTGTGTTTTGAAAGAGAGGTGGGAGTGTGTCTCTGGTTGTTTGGTCTGCTGCAGTGGAAATGTACAATAGGTTGTGGATGCAGTCAAAGATCAGAGCTCAAATCTCACTTGAGCTGTTCGGTGTTCAGAGGAAACCTGAAGTGAATAAAGCTCAGTGTGCTTGCTGTGCAGAGGAGTCTGGGGAAAAGTTGATGTGAGAGGAAGGAGGAGGAGACCTGGATTGAGAGGAGAGGAGAAAGAGAGCAAGAGTGATGGCAGGGAGATGGAGAAGCAGAGAGACGGAGGAAAAAAAGCAGGGAGGAGAGATGATGTGAGCTGAATGTCAATGATGTCATTTTCCTTTACTCAATCGTTATCCTCAGTTTACCTCAAACTTTCACGATCCCTTTAGTAATCAGAAAAGTTGTCCTGCTTTCAAAGAAAAAATACAGAAGCTAAACTGTCACTTTGAACTACAAACCCAGTCATAAGTTTGGATATTGATGTGCATTTATATACACCCACTTGTCACTATATTAGGTTCGCCTTTATTAGGTTTCAACTGCTCGTTAACACAAATTTCTAATCAACCAATCACATGGCACTATCTCAATGCATTTAGGCATGTAGACATGGTCAAGACGATCTGCTGCAGTTCAAACCAAGTCAAACTACTGATCTACTGGGATTTTCACACACAACCATCTCTAGGATCTACAGAGAATGCTTTAAAAATAACGAAATATCCAGTGAGTGGCAATTCTGTGGGCGCAAATGCCTTGTTGATGCCAGAAGTCAGAGGAGAATGGCCAGACTGGTTCCAGCTGATAGAAAGGCAACAGTAACTCAAATAACAACTCGTTATAACTGAGGTATGCAGAAAAGCATCTCTGAATGCACAACATGTTGAAATTTGAGGCAGATGGGCTACAGCAGAAGACCACACCGGGTGCCACTTCATCAGCTAAGAACACGAAACTAAGGCTACAATACTCACCAAGGCTCACCAATATTGACAATAGAAGATTGGAAAAACATTGCCTGGTCTGATGAGTCTCGATTTCTGCTTCGACATTCAGATGGTAGGGTCAGAATTTGACATCAACAACATGAAAGCACAGATCCATCCTGCCTTGTGTCAGCGGTTCAGGCTGCTGCTGGTTGTGGTGTAATGGTGTGGGGATATTTTCTTGGCACACTTTGGGCACATTGAGCATCGTGTCAACGCCATAGCCTACCTAAGTATTGTTACTGACCATGTCCTTCCCTTTATGACCAGTGTACCCATCTTCTGATGGCTACTTCCAGTAGGAGAATGCGCCATGTCATAAACAGCGAATCATCTCAGACGGGTTTCTTGAACATGACAATAAGTTCACTGTACTCACATGGCCTCCACAGTCCCCAGTTCGCAATCCAATAGAGCATGTTTGGAATGTGGTGAAAGCGTTTTGCATCATGGATGTGCAGCCGAAAAATCTGTAGTAGCATGCGTTATGCTATCATGTCAATATGAACCAAATTCTCTGAGGAATATTTCCAGGACCTTGTTGAATCTATGCCACAAAGGAATAAGGCAGTTCTGAAGGCAAAATGGGGTCCAACCTGGTACTAGTAAGATGCACCCAATAAAGTGGCTAGTAAGTGGAAATAAGCTAATATATAAGCTTTTTTTATGATAGGACAATATTTGGCTGAGATACAACTAACTAGAAAATCTGATTATTGAGAGTCACCTTTAAATTTAAGTTCTATAGATTTAGTTATTTACAATTCATATTACTATTTAAAAATGAGGTTTTAAATATATTTAAAGCAAGACGATTAATAAATATCCTCACATAACTCTTTAATTAATATTCTAATGATGTTTTGGCATAAAAGAGTAATTAAACATTTTGATCCAGAAAAAAAGCATATTTGGCTATTGTCAAAATAATATACCCATACAACATATGACTTGTGTATTTTATGGTCCAGGGTCACAATTGTGTTCACAGCCAATGAACTTTTTTTTTCTTATTTTAAAGTCTATTGTTTTTACAAAATGAAGTGTTGTTTCCAGATTAATTTAGTAAAAATACAGTGAATAAACAACTTATCTGTTTTACAGGTCAGAAAATGAATGAACATTAATAAATGTCCTGTTAAATTATTAAATTTACCTATGCCAAGGAACAGACTGTTAATAAATATTAGTTTTTTTTACATTTTTATTACAAAATTATAATAAAATAATTTATTTTGTTTGTTTTTATTTAGATATATTCTTTAAAAAGATGGAAGACTTTTTACGTTAAAAGCATTATAACTGTAAAGATCACTGCAGTGATTATACTATATTAGGTCATACTACTAAACAAGCTATGCACACTTACATTGCTAATTATACACTTAATCTGCCTTTTTATCATCCTTTTTGTCAGCTTTAAATCCTCAAGCAGAATAATTTATACTATCAGATCTAGTGACAAATATTGCACTGAGCCACATCAGCTCCTGTTTAAATAGGGGAATGACTGAAATTCATAAAAACATCCCTCCACTCCTACATCGCTCCATCTGTTTTTCCTTATGACGATTTCATCTCGAGAGGGAAAGCGTAAATAAGAGAGAGATTGAGGGTTATGTGTGTTTACAATGGCGGTACTTCATATCTCAAGGCAGATAAACAACTCCATTTGAAGGTGAACAAGGCAAGACAACTGATAACCAACCACAGAAGGAGAAATCTGCATAGCGACAAAACAGGAAAGGATATGCATAATGAGAATGAAATTTCCACTTTCTCAGAATGTAAATCCTAAACTCAAAACTAGGCTCAAGAATTGCTCTGGTAATCCTACCACACACTCATGTGAAATACTAGACATTTTTACAAATGAGTGGATTCAAGAATCACACAAATACACACTGATATCTTCAGAAAAAACAGTATATATATATATATATATATATATATATATATATATATATATATATATATATATATATATATATATATATATATATATATATTGACATGATAGCATAACAG